ATATTGAACAGAGAATTATAACGTGTGACCATTACAATTGTAGAACTGTCATGAATGTAATGGACTGTGGACAATAACGTATGACCATTGATACGGGTGTATCTTCTCTTCGGAACTTAGCGATCCTCATAGGAGCTTGAGGATAGATGATTCTCATGATAGCATGAGAATAGAGGTGTCAAACAGTATAAGGGGACATAGGAGAAAGCGTGGAATGAGACGACGAGCAGAAGGATCGAAGTACCCAGTTTTCAGCCTGTGAGTCGACTCATTACAGTCATGAGTCGACTCATCAGGTTGAGTCGACTCATGACTGTCATGAGTCGACTCATCAGGTTGAGTCGACTCATGACTGTCATGAGTCGACTCATCGCTGGTTGTTAAGATTTGTCCAGTTTCTGTCGAGTCGACTCATCACAGTCATGAGTCGACTCATCAAGTCATGATCGACTCATCGAGGCGTTTTCTGGTTCGTTTGGGATTCTGTTCACACGAATTCCTGTTTGGTTTTGGGTCTGGTTATTTACCAAACTGTCATCCACGTTTGTACACCCTATATAAGGGATTGTTTTAGGGTTTCTAAACATCTTTTTAAGTCAGAGAGTTTAATCAAGAGAGATTAGATTCTAGATTGAGAATTGGAGAGCTTGTTCTTCAATTCTAGAGTGAGATTGTGAGGGAGAGATTGTAATCTTTTGTTCTTCATAATCTAGAGAAGGTATTTTCCTCGCCAAAACTGAATTGTTCTTGTGTTTGGGTCGTCCTCTTCTCAACCACGCTTTTGGTAATTCCGCGACCGAAGGTTGCTCGCTCACGGCAACTCGTATCAAGTTGGTATCAGAGCCTCAGATCGGGTGAAGGGGCATCCTGTGTATGGTCCTTTACTCGATCCCAATCAAGGAGCTTGGCGAGATCCTTATTTCATTGGAAGGAGTCCGAGTTTTAAGGAAGAAGAAGATGGCTGAAGGAGACAATTCAACGAGGATTGATGCATTGGAGAAGCAGATCGAGACGATAGGTTCGACTCTCACACAACTCGTCAGTCTTATCCATGGAGGTGGCAAACAAGGTGAATCTTCTTCGAAGAAAATTGTTGAGTCCGATGTGGAGAGAGTAGATTCAGATTCCGACGAGGAGGAGGAGACCGTTAAGACTGCATTGCATCAATGTGATAAGAATTCTTATCAGAACCTGAAGATTGACTTTAAGGTGGAGATTCCTGTTTATGATTGGAGTGTTGACGTCGAGAGGCTTGATGACTGGATCGAGCAGATGGAGACGTATTTTACTCTTTATGGTTATTCGTCGAAAGAGAAGATTGTGTTCGCGACTTTGAAGCTTTCAGGGCACGCATTGACGTGGTGGAAATCCTACTGCAAGCAGGAGAAGAAGGCGGTGTCGTGGAATAAGTTTAAGGAGCTACTTAGGAAGCAGTTCTATCTGATGGGATTCCTTGAAGAACGTTGGTACAAGTGGTACGGCTTGCGCCAAAGGGTCAATCAAACCGTTCAAGAATACACCACGGAGTTCCAGCAGCAGGCGATGGTCCTCAACATTACGACAGAGGAATATTCCGTGTTTATAAAGTATATGGCGGGATTGAGCGGTCACATACGAAAGGAGATGAGGGTATTCACGGTGGAATCAATTGCAGAGGCGAGCGTGAAGGCATTTGCCATTGAGGGTAGGCAAAAGAAGGGCAACGAGGCTAAGGGAGACTCCAAACAGACGGGAGGCGAGTCTAGTGGTTCTCAATCTAAGGAGGAGAAGAAAAATGGTGATCCAGGGAAAGCAGGGCTGATTTGTAGTCACTGCGAGAAGACAGGGCAAGAAGCTGATCGGTGCTGGGAGAAGTATCCTCATCTGAAGCCAAGAGGGTTGAAGAGGAAGGAGGAGAAAAAGGCATACATGATAGCTCAAGGTCCGAAGAAAATCCCGGGGATGACAGAGCCCAACAACAGTCTCAACCTTCTGGCGGGAAAACAGGCCACGAAAGAGGACGACGACCCGAGAGAGCAACTCTTTGTTCTTAAGTTGCAAGTGAAGACCAGTTTGGTTGATGCCATTGTTGATTCGGGTAGCGAGAAGAATTTGATATCCGAGGCATTGGTGCAGAAGCTAGGTCTGAAGACGGTCAAGCATCCGAAGCCCTATCCATTAGGGTGGATTCAGAAGGAGGAGAAACTGAGTGTAGTTGATCAATGCACTGTCAGATTTGCGCTCCACGAGTCGTATATTGACGAGGTCACATGCGATGTCGTTCCATTGGATGTTTGTCAGATTATACTGGGTAATCCGTACTTATGGGATAGATATGCGATCTACGAGAGGCGGGCTCAGAAGTACACCTTCACTAAGGATGGTGTAAAGTTCATATTTCGTTCGGCATCTTTTCCGAAGGAGACAAGCTTAGGGACGGTGACGCGAGTGAAGAGACTAGTGAATGCAAGCAAGAAGTTTGTCTCGCTGTGCATTAGACTTCCAGAAAAACCATCGACAAAGGATTGCAACTTAGAGCGAACGGTGACTATGAGTTGTTTCCGATCGGACGTCGAGACCGGATTCCTAGCGAGGCCAGGTGGTGCAGAAAAGATGGAGGAGCTCAAGAGTTTCCTCAGCAAAAGTTCTAACTTGAATGGGACTTCAAGTTCTTAAAGAGGGGACACATGATACGGGTGTATCTTCTCTTCGGAACTTAGCGATCCTCATGGGAGCTTGAGGATAGATGATTCTCATGATAGCATGAGAATAGAGGTGTCAAACAGTATAAGGGAACACAGGAGAAAGCGTGGAATGAGATGACGAGCAAAAGGATCGAAGTACCCAGTTTTCAGTCTGTGAGTCAACTTATTACAGTCATGAGTCGACTCATCAGGTTGAGTCGACTCATGACTGTCATGAGTCGACTCATCGCTGGTTGTTAAGATTTGTCCAGTTTCTGTCGAGTCGACTCATCACAGTCATGAGTCGACTCATCGAGGGTTTCCTGGTTCGTTTGGGATTCTGTTCACACGAATTCCTGTTGGTTTTGGGTCTGGTTATTTACCAAACTGCCATCCACGTTTGTACACCTATATAAGGGATTGTTTTAGGGTTTCAAAACATCTTTTAAGTCAGAGAGTTTAATCAAGAGAGATTAGATTCTAGATTGAGAATTGGAGAGCTTGTTCTTCAATTCTAGAGTGAGATTGTGAGGGAGAGATTGTAATCTTTTGTTCTTTATAATCTAGAGAAGGTATTTTCCTTCGCCAAACTGAATTGTTCTTGTGTTTTGGTCGTCCTCTTCTCAACCCACCTTTTGCTAATTCCGCGACCAAAGGGTGCTCGCACGGCAACTCGTACCAAATTCCAACACTCGATAGCCTTCGAGCTGTTGTTTGGATTCCTGGATTTGGACCTCCTGTCCTTTGATCTACCTATGTAGTTTGATTTGTCTCGTCCATTCCCTTTGGTTGAATTTCTACCTCTTGAGTCTGTTTGTAATATTGAACTGAGAATTATAACGTGTGACCATTACAATTGTAGAACTGTCGTGAACGTAATGGACTGTGGATAATAACGTATGACCATTCACATTGTAATACATATACTGTGATGACCTGCACGGATTTATTTAACAAATGATATTAAAAAGTACTAAAAATAATACTTGGATAATAGATATTGTAAAGATAAAATAAAATAAAATTATTTCAAATTAATTTATAATTTTAAAGAATTTATTTGACAAAATAATCATTTAAGAATAATTATAATAAGTTATTTTGATGAAAGAATCATTTTAGAATAATTATAATAAATTATTTTGGTGAAAATCATTTTAGAGTAATTATAATAAATTAATAGAATTTATTTGATAAAAGAATTATTTTAGAATAATTATAAAAAAAATTTAAAAAAATTATTTTAGAATAAGTATCAATTTAGAATAATTTCAATAATTTAAGAGAGTTTATTTTATGAAAGGAATTAATTTAGAACATTTATAAATAATTTTAAAGGATTTATTTTAGAAAAGGGATTATTATGAATTATTCATGATTTATGTTTCTTAATTTTAATTATGTGATATGCTATGATATTGTTGTATATGATTAGTTGCATTTATTACTCTTTGTCATGTTTGAGAACCGTTAGAAATTCATGACTAGTGTGGCCTGGTGTGTCCTGTTTAAGACTTAGAAACCTGTGTGTATGTTGACCTAGATAAACAAAAGAGTTGGGACGGGGAAAGTCATGGTTCATGTGATCGGATATGGTTGTTGATTTATCTTTTAGACTCGCACCAGTTAGGTTCGTTTCGAACTGGGGTTGGTTTGATGGGCCACGGTGAAGGTTTGTTGCGTCACTTTGGTTCGTGAATGTGATATTCACTCGAGTCGGCTGGAGTTCGAACCAGGCCGAATCGGTTTGCATGGAGTCCTATTGGGGGTACGTAGGGGATTTGTGAACAGTCATATATCCGAGAATATGAATATCGACTCTGTGTGAGATGTGTACCAGTGACCTGTTATAGGATGACTAGTTACATGACTTGTTACTTGGATGATTTTGGATTCTTATAAGATATGGACCAGTTATATTTCTTTCCATACATAGATCGGTATTAATATTTAATTATCTACAAATTGAGAAATATGGTATATACATGAGGGTTTCTTTGTTTGGATTATGTCGCTCGACATACTACGTCTCGAGTTGTAGATTTTTAAGTATTAATTCTGTCTAGTTGTATGACCCTATATTTGGATGATTATTCTGATCGCTAGCTGCATGACCTCGTTACCCGATTGACTTTGGATTATTCTGATTATTCTATTCTAGTAATGAATTATATTTAGATTATTAGTATTCAAGTTGTTATTATTATTAGGTTTTATGGTGACCTATTTATTATTACTATTATTGCATTGGTTGTTCGATCGTTTCTATTCTTCTTTTTGAGATCTTGTCGTGTGCCATACACGTTGACGTATACCTGTTTTCTCTGGTGTACTTAGATTTAGAGGACGGACATGTAAAGTATGGAGATGCCTTGCAGACGGAGTGTATTCTAGATGGAGCAGGAGAGCAAGCGGAAACTTAGTCATTTCTTTTCTGTAATCGTTGAGGGATATTAGATTACTTATGAAGTATTTTCTCTTTTAGTATTTAGAGAGATTTAATCCTTTTTTATAGTACTTATTTTTATTCTGTTGGACTATGTATTTTTATATTTAGTTGGACTGTTTTTGACCCAAACCTTGTGTCATGGATGATATTCTATTTGTGATATAGATCTTACTGTTCTGAGTTGTTTATTATATTCTCACTACTGTGATCGGGGACCTGTGCCTTCGCTTTATGTTTCTTGATGCGTAGCGTATTAGATTGAGAAGAAGGAGTCTAGCACTTATCTCTCCTCAGTCTAATACGTCGCAAGCTTGTTCACGTTTCGATTCCTCGGTATTTTGGGAAGCGGGGCGTGACAGGTTTTTAGTGGTGGCCCATGCAGGTCACGGCCCCGAGTTCCCACCAGTGAGAATATAATCGATGATTTAGACGAATATCATTATTTCATCCGTAAGACTATATTTAGCCCTTATCCTAGTATTTTGAAAAAAAATTGTTTTAGTCCCTACCTTACTCAATTTCAATTTGATCTGACTTTGATTCTTCCTGCAATGATTTTGATCCTCCCTCTTGTTTTCCTTATCTTCCCTTCAGAACCATGGTGGGTACACGTAATAATGGTAACCCATCCAGTAGCAGTGGTCAGATGCCTAAATTAGATTCACAGCAGCTTTGGCGATGATTCAAGGGCTGGTGACAAACCAGCAGTTCTTAGCTGGGCATTTGCAGTAGGAGCCTCAGCATCAGCATCCCTCTCGTACAGAACCTGGTGTTAGAGAGTTTTGATATATGCAACCTCCTTCTTTCTCTGGTGCCGAAGGACCTCTAGTAGCTGAAGAGTTCCTGAAGGTTACCGAGACTATCCTTACGGTGACCCGTATTGCCCTTATAGAGTGGGTGGACCTTATGGACATCCAGCTCACAGATACAGCTCGAATCTGGTGGGCTGCTGAGAAGACACACCTGGAGAGGCCGATTCTGTGGGAAATGTTCACGTATCGCTTCAATAGGAAGTATTTCCCTCAGTCAGCCCGGGATGAGCTTTTGCGTAGATTTGTCGAGCTCAAGTAGGGAGGTCGATCAGTCGACGATTATGAGGCCGAGTTCTCTTCCCTCAGTCGATACACTCCCCACTTGGTTACAGACCCCACTATTAGGAGGCATCAGTTCCAGAAGGGTCTGGACAAGTACATCAGATTGGCTCTGGCTGGTAGGGCCCTCGCGACTCATGACGCTGTTCTGGATGCAGCGCGTGAGATCGAGAGTGTTCAAAAGGAGACTGAGGATCAATATATGATTCAGAGTAGAGTACCAGCATCTCCAACCTGGAATATCGAGCGTCCTCCTCCGAGGAAGTACCAGGCTCCGCAAAAACGGCAGTTTTCTCAGCGACAATCCCTTCCTCAGGGGCATCCCTATCAGCACCACTTGTGCTTCACCTGTGGATCCCCCGACCATATTAGTCAGGACTGTCCATAGTGGTAGTAGGGCCGATTGCCCCCACCTCCAGTTCGGGCAGCTCTTCCAGCTCCACCTCGACCTGCTCCAGCAACACCAGTTCAGCAAGGACCCTATGCTCGTGCAGGGTCTCTTCCCTCTCAGAAGCAGGTTTATCAGCAGGCGCAGAGGCAGCAACCTCCGCGCCAGATCTTCATGATGTCAGCTGTGGAAGCTGAGATGAATGACCAGGTTATCACTGGTATGAACTGTTCATTCTTAGTTTTCCTTGCATATGATTTTTTCCTTATTTAGCATTACCTGATGATATCATGATAGGATTTGTTCATAAGTGCTAAGTTTAGTTACATTTACCACCTCCTATAATAGGCAAGGTTCTCGTTTCTTCCGTTTCTGCATTATCACTCTTTGACTCTGGGGCTTCCCATTGTTTCTTGTCTCATCGATTTGTGAGTACCCACTCACTTCATATAACTCCTCTAACTACGGGTTGGAATATCAACACTGGCAGTGGTGTCTTAGTAGCATCCAGTAGTTATGAAGCATGTCCAGTGGTCATCTGCGGAAAAGAACTTTTTGTAGATTTTCTGGTGATTGATTTGCTGAGCTTTGATGCAGTATTTGGAATGGAATGGTTAGGGTCATTCTTTTCCACCATCGATTGTCACCGTAGAAGTGTGGTATTTGAGATACCGGATCACCCAAGGTTTGAATTCCCCAGTGGCAGTACATCGGTTGGACCGGTAGAGTACAAAGCTAGACCAAAGAAGGCGATATTAACTGCCATGCAGGTAGAACCTGAGAAGGCAATTGTAGTTCAGGAATTTGAAGATGTGTTTCCCGATGACATTTATGGGTTACCACCGGACCGAGCGATTGAGTTTTCTATAGAATTAAAGCCTAGAACTGCTTCGATCTCCAAGACCCCTTATCGTATGCCTCCGGCTGAGTTGACCGAGCTTCAGACTCAGTTGGATGATCTTATGCAGAGAGGCTTGATATGACCCAGTGTATCATCCTGGGGAGCACCTATGTTGCTTGTGGGAAAGAAGGATGGATCCAAGCGGATGTGCATCGACCACCGGGAGTTGAATGTTGTGACAGTGAAGAACAAGTATCCACTTCCCCGTATCGATGATATCTTCGACCAATTGGGAGGATCAAGAGTATTTTCTAAGCTGGATCTGTGGAGTGGATATCACCAGGTGAAGGTCAATGACTCTGATGTTCCCAAAACTGCGTTCCGAACGAGATATGGACATTATGAGTTCTTAGTGATGTCGTTTGGTATGACTAATGCGCCAGCGACCTTCATGAACCTGATGAATCTGGTATTCTATGATGTGCTGGACAAGTTTGTAGAAGTCTTTATTAATGATATCCTGGTGTACTCTAAGAGTGAAGCGGAACATGCGGAGCATTTTTGGTACGTGTTGAAGACCTTGAGAGAGCATCGGCTATTCGCCAAGTATACTAAGTGTCAGTTCTGGCTAGATCGCATTGCGTTTCTAGGACACGTGGTGATGGGAGACGACATATCTGTGGACCCGGATAAAGTAGCTGCTGTTAAGGATTGGCCTACCCCTAAGGCGGTGTCCGACATTAAGAGTTTCCTGGGATTAGCTGGATACTACTGACGCTTCATCAAGGATTTCTCAAAGATTGCGGAGCTGATGACACGACTTATGAGGAAGGATATTAAGTTTGTCTGGTCCGATGCTTGTGAGCATGTGTTCTAGGAGTTAAAGTCTCGAATGATCTCGGCCCTGATCTTGACGATACCAGATAAGAGTGAGAACTTTGAGGTGTTCTGCGATGCATCTGGCAGAGGATTGGGATGTGTTCTCCAGCAGGATGGTCATGTGGTAGCGTATGCATCTCATCTGTTGAAAAAATATGAGCAGAATTACCCTACCCATGACCTGGAGTTGGCAGCTGTAATTTGTGCTCTTAAGCTTTGGAGACATTATTTGTTGGGAGAGCAAGTGAAAGTGTTCACGGATCACAAGAGCTTGAAGTACATCTTCACGCAGAAGGAGCTCAACATGAGACAGCGCAGATGGTTAGAGTTGATGGCAGATTATGACATTGACCTTCAGTACCATCCTGGCAAGGTCAATGTAGTACCAGACGCCTTGAGCAGTTTGCCAGCAATCATGACCCTCACAGCTCAGTAGAGACTTTAGCAGGAAGTGAGGGATATGAGTATAGAAGTTATACTTCCAGGAGTCACCGCTTCCTTGATGAATCTTCAGATTCAATCGACATTGGTTGAGCGAATCAAGGCTGCACAAGCAGGTGACTTATTTCTTCAGAAGTGCAAAGAATTAGCACTGGATGGTCTTCGGCTAGAATTTGTTGTTCATGAGGACAGATCCTTACGATTTAGGAGTCGTATCTACGTAGCAGAAGGAGATGTTCGAGAGGAGATATTGCGGGAAGCTCATAGCTCACCGTACTCTATCCACCCTGGAGGTACGAAGATGTACAAGGATCTAAAGCTAAACTTTTGGTGGCGTGGTATGAAGAGAGATGTGGCTCATAGTGTGACGAATTGCCTTGTATGTCAGCAGGTGAAGGCAGAGCATTAGCGCATCGCAGGTCTATTGCAACCATTGCCTATTCCGGAGTGGAAATGGCAACATGTCACCATGGACTTCGTTACTGGTTTACCTCGGAGCACTAGACAGAATGATGCTGTTTGGGTGATCGTAGATCGATTAACCAAATCGGCTCACTTTATTCCATTCCGAGTAGGACAGTCAACGGAGCATCTTGCTCAGAGATATATGGAGGAGATCGTACGATAGCACGGAGTTGCAGTGTGCATTGTCTCGGACCGTGATACCCGGTTTACTTCTGAGTTCTGGAAGAGTTTGCAAGCGAGTCTTAGGACCAATCTCAGTTTCAGCACAGCTTATCATCCTCAGACCGATAGGCAATCAGAAAGGACCATTCAATTTTTGGAGGATATGCTTAGAGCATGTATGCTTGACTTTCACGGGTCGTGGGAAGATCACTTGTATTTGATGGAGTTTTCATACAACAATAGCTTCCAGGCTAGCATTAGAATGGCCCCTTTCGTGACATTATATGGGAGGAAGTGTCGCTCTCCTTTGAGTTGGGATGATGTTGGTGAACGAGAGATTTTTGGGCCAGAGTTGATTGATAAGTCAGTTGATGCTGTCAGAATCATTCGTGAACGACTTCGCATAGCACATGACCGATTCAAGCATTGGGCGGATACGAAACATCGACACTTGGAGTTTCATCCAGGAGATCATGTATTCCTAAAGATTTCCCACAACCGAGGCACCATTCGCTTTGGAAGGCGTGGAAAGTTGAGTTCGCGATATGTGGGACCTTTCGACGTATTAGAGAGAGTTAGAGAAGTGGCGTATCGACTTGCATTACCACCCGCATTGGCTGGAGTGCATGACGTGTTCCACGTTTCTCAGTTGTGAAGATATATTGGAGATCCGAGTCATGTCGTAGATTTCTCAGAGATTAAGGTGCGACCTGATTTGACATACGAGAAGCAACCTGTGGCGATTTTGGACCGAAGAGAGAAGACTCTCCGGAACAAGACCGTCACACTTGTTCATGTGATGTGGCACCCAAATTCTCCTGGCGAGTTGACTTGGGAGACTAAGGCTGAAATACGACAGCGATACCCTCATCTATTTCCTGAATCTTAGCTGTCAACAACTTGTATCTTACCTCATACCTAATCTGGTACCATCCTTATCTTAGATTATTATCTGCTTATAAATATGCGGCTTATTTTAAACTCTACTCTATATGTGTTGATCAGGTGAGTATCTCGTTCTATACAATCCTTGAGATCTTTCCGCATCACTCTAATTTTAATTCCGAGGACGGAATTTATTTTAAGGGAGGTAGAATGTAATAACCGAAATTTTTCGATCTTGATTCAAATAAAGTTTATGCTATTTTAAATATTAAATTTTACTTTTAAAAGAGTAATTATAAATTACCCGATTTTTCAAAATTTTCTATGATTTAAAATCTAATTTTATAATAATTTTAGTAGTTTTGTTAATTATAAATTAAATAATTTTATCAGTAAAAAAATAGTAATAATATAACTTTTAATATATGAAGTTTTATGATTTAAAAATCCAAATTTATATTTATTTAGCTAATTATAAATTAAATTATTTTTAATAAATTCTTGTTATTCATTTTGTAACTTTTAATTATTTTTGTTATTCATTTTTGTTAAAATTAATAAATAAAAAAATATACAATAGGAGATAAACCCCATAGCATCCTCCACGTCAGTATTCCTACCCCTATGAACTGTTCATGATTCACGTGCACTGAAAACTTAGACTACGGTGCTCCTGGTTTCTCACCAATCAAATCTTGATTTTTTATTAAAAAAATATATTTAAACCCTCACCCCTTTCTCATCTCGTGCTCACTTACTCTCCTTATCTCTCTCTCAGCTCAACCCACTTACCTACCCTCCTCCTCCGCCTTGCCATCGACCGCCCCTCCCCCTGACCGAACCTACACCGTCCTCATCTATGCCTCCGACGTCCGCCTTCAAACCGCGGACCCGTCGCCACTGACAACCGCGCGCCCAAGATTCGTCGCCCCTTTTCTCCATCCACTCGGAACCGCAATCCGCCCGCCTCCTTCTCTCACCCTTAGCCACCGCTCATCTCCCAGCTCAAGCTCTGGGCTTTGCGGTCGCCAACTGCTCTCCAGCCCACCACCTCTGCATTCCGCACGCCAACGCGCGCCGCTTAGCCAGCCCGACGACTACAGACAAGCTCACACAGTCCGCTCAGACTCCTACGCCTCCCTCTCTCCTCTTCCCTTCACCGCTGACAGCAACCCACACCCATCAACCCAAGCTCCGTCGTCGACAACACCGCTGCTCGAATCCTTGCCGCTGCTCTCCTACACCGCTGCAGCTCCTCCATCACCTCCACCTCTCCTCGTCGCTGCCTCAAACCGCTGCTCACGTCACCGAAACAACAAAAAGCAAACAGCGGCATCGCTTCCTTGTCCGTAGTCACGTAGCCTCGTACGGTAACGTTGAATCATCCGACAATAACCCGAGGCAAGATCCCGATACTTTCTTGATTTGGCATTCAATTCCTAGGCCCACTGTGAATTAATTAATTGCTTGCAAGATCCCTATTCTTGATCAGTATAATTTTAGATTCATCATAGATTAATTATGCATAAGATCTCGTTTCTCGAACAATTATTCGTTACAAATATAGAACTATCGTGAACATATTGAACTGAGAATTATAACGTGTGACCGTTATAATTGTAGAACTGTTGTGAACGTAATGGACTGTGGACAATAACGTATGACCATTCACGTTGTAATACATATACTGTGATGACCTGCACGAATTTATTTGATGAATGATATTAAAAAGTACTAAAAATAATACTTGGATAATAGATATTATAAAGATAAAATAAAATAAAATTATTTCAAATTAATTTATAATTTTAAAGAATTTATTTGACAAAATAATTATTTTAGAATAATTATAATAAGTTATTTTGGTGAAAGAATCATTTTAGAATAATTATAATAAATTATTTTGGTGAAAATCATTTTAGAGTAATTATAATAAATTAATAGAATTTATTTGAAAAAAGAATTATTTTAGAATAATTATAAAAAAATTTAAAAGAATTTATTTTAGAATAAGTATCAATTTAGAATAATTTCAATAATTTAAGAGAGTTTATTTTTTGAAAGGAATTAATTTAGAACATTTATAAATAATTTTAAAGGATTTATTTTAGAAAAGGGATTATTATGAATTATCCATGATTTATGTGTCTTAATTTTAATTATGTGATATGCTATGATATTGTTGTATATGATTAGTTGCATTTATTACTCTTTGTCATGTTTGAGAATCGTTAGAAATTCATGACTAGTGTGGCCTGGTGTGTCCTGTTTAAGACTTAGAAACATGTGTGTATGTTGACCAAGATAAAC